TTAAATTAATATCAGATAGCAGCATTAACAACAGACATGTAGCAAGAACCTGTAGCCTATCTTTGAAAACATAAGGGTATTAATAGAAAAATATAATGATTTGTTTGTTTACATGGGCACTTTGTTTTGTTTTTTGAGAGAGTATGTTACAGTATACCCATTTATTTATTTTTTTTTAATATAGGGCTGCACAATATATCGTTTCAGCATCAATATCGCAGTGTGATCATTAGCAATAGTAACATCGCAGGACATATGAAATGTTGAGTTTGTATTTTAATTTATCATTTGCATGTTTTAAAAGCATTCAGATATATGAAACTGTAGCATTTGTGACCTTAACTATGATTAATTTTATTTAATTATTATTACTAATATTATTCAGTTACTGTACTTAAATACTGTTAGACTCGGGAAACGATAACCCTATTTCAATTGTATCTTTTTCTTGATTGTATTTACAGATTGTCATGCATGAAAATACTCACAACACATGCAAATAGAGAAATGCACTGCAAATGGCAAAGACCACATCGAAAATGTGTCGAGGGACCCCAAAAACTGTAAAGACTGTTTGAGATTTTATGGAGATGCATTCCCACTGCAGAATCATCACAATCAATATGATTTGATTTGACATTATGAATTATTTTCAAAAAGAGATAAGTCTTCTTGTGAAATTGTATTCATAACACTACAGATATCGCAAAATAACAAAATATTGCAATCATTATTTTTCCAATAACGTGCAGCCTTATTTAAATGCTTCACATTTTTGCAGAAATTAAGAAAGAACACACATCCTTTGCTCAAGTAGAAGTACAAGCACAGAAACAGATGTTTAAAAAGACTTGAAGTTGAAGTACTGTACTCAAGAAAAGTAAAAAGTACGTGTTTGAGGGCACACTTCAAGTAAAAAGTATCCATTTTTACACTAAACAGAATGCTGTATCAGCTTATTATCAGATTTTATTACTAAACAGAAATTTTCACTAAACAGAGTTACATCTGTTCAGCAGAGACCTATTTATGTGGTTAAATGCAACAATGAACCCGTTTTCAGAAATCCAAAAAAAAAGGGATCAGGTGTAAACAGCCCCATAATGCTTCCTCTCTTCTCTCCTGTCGTGAGGACACGCATAACATGGTCATCCATCAGGACTTCTTTAACCCAACAGATACTTTTTTTGTCATAAGAAAAGTGTCAATGATTTAAATCTCAAGCAGAAGGGTCCACAATGGGTGGTTCTCATTTATTATTTGTGCATCCTTATCTCCTGCTTTTTGCAGCTTAGTCCCAGCAATCCCAGGATATAAGGGAAGGAGAAAGGACAATAAAGGTCAACCGAATCGCAGCAAAACTTCTTTGTATTGGTGTGTTCTACTTACTTCAGTATCATTTCCAAGCATCATCAGCTTTTCTAAACTGAACTGCCCCTATATTAGAGGGATAGCTGACTCAAAATGACAATTCCATCATAATTTAATCTCCCTTTACTTGTTTCAAACTTTTGTTTTGTTTTCGTTTCTTTCTTCTATTGAACACAATATTGTAAAGAAAGTTTGTAAGCCTGTAATTATTGACTTCTATAGTATTTTTTCCTACTATGGATGTCAATGGTGGCAGATTTTTAGCTTTCTTCAAAACATCTTTTTTGTATTCAACAGAAGAAAGAAACTTTTAACGTTTTGACCACTTGAGGTAGTAGATTTTCATTTTTAGTTAATCATTTAAAACTTCAGAGTTGTTGGTAGATCGGATATGGTTGTGGCCGGAAGTTAACGAGAATAATTTATATTATTTATAAAATAATAAATTATTTATAAAAATCGGATTTATTGTGTTTAATTAACATCTACCCAAACCTCAACCGTCACAGTAATGTAAAAACAGTAGTTGTACCCAGTTATATTTATGCTATATATTAAATAACCCAATAAATTTTATTTTTTAATGCCTACCCCCACCCCAAGTCTAAACCCAACCATCACAATAACGTGAAAATATACTGCTAATTTAATGTGCAAAATCGCACTTCCGATCTGCCGTATATCTGATCTAGACCTTAACAAACTTCAGTCCTTAAGTTTTGTCTATTCGTCGCTATCTCTGTTTGAAACATGCACTTGCCTTTATTTTCAGAATTATCATATTCACATAGGTTGTGCATTGGAAGGACTGAATGAATCCTTGAACGTTTTAAGAAATATGTGTGGGTTTAAGTCAACAATGTGAAAGAAAAATTTGCATTGTTTAAGTCCACAACAATGTGAATATTATACTATGAAATCAAAGCTCTTATTTCTTAAAAGTTCGGCCAAACTAGAATTTTCACAAAATCTCATCTAAAATTATGAGTGACATTTTGTTCTGACCAACTGCAAAATAGCCTAGTAGCTGGAAATCCTTCTGTATTTATGAAGAGACAATGACGCAAAGACAAACAATGGCAAGCTCATATTTCCTGCAAAAATCCTACCTGTCAAATTAGAAAACCGCTTACCATTGTGAATTGGGCTAAGGTAAGGAGAGAGTTTAAAACACTGGCTGTTATTCAAAAATTTGTTTAGTGTTTTTTTTATCCAAAACAACTTAGCTTCCACATGGAAAATGCATGTACTTTGCTAATAGCTCCTTTGAAACCTACTCATTATTTGTCCTTGCATTCTTAAGGTACAATAGAATTCAAAGAAACGAGGAGCAAAGAAACTATAGTAAACCTTTGCTTTAACAGTCCTACCACATCAGAATAAAACAATTGTGGAAATGTGTTGGGCTGATCAAAATTTTACTAGTCAAATGAACACCCAATAACACCCTGTCCTAACTACATGCATTGCGATGCCGCAACACACAATGAAGGGTATTTTTTTCCATGACAAAACAACTTTTTGTCCTAATACTACTATGACAAATATCCCCTCAGGTACAGATTGTGTGCTATATTCAGAGTTAAATGTTACCAATGTGAGTTTAAATAATAATATATGTGACAATTATTGCCAGTCTACTGAAAGCAGCGGTATATAGTCACTCAGGCTATCTTGCTGCATCACATAGCAGTACACGGTGTTAGGCTGGACATACTGAGGCCTTGTTTCCATTTGAGCTTTTGTTGGTCCAACTAATGAACAAAATAGCTACATATACAGATGCAAATGTCCCCGGAACATCTTACCAGTGTTGGGGGTAATGCATTACAGGTAACTGGAGTTACGTAATAATATTCCGTTTCTAAATAATTACTTTTCAAAAATTGCATTGATTTCCTTGTGTTCGACAACATCTTATTTTTAGCAGAAATGCACAGTGAAAAGTACAATATCACAATAAATATGCTACAGTGATCAATTATTGAATATTAAAACTGTGGGTCAGCTTGTGTTTGATGGCTTTTCCTTAAAGGCGGTCATTTCTTTCTTTCTAATTGGTTTGTACATCAGGATTTAGTTTTATCTTATAGTGTAAATTATTTTTTTTTACATTATTTCATTCATTCATTCATTTTCATTTTGGCTTATTCCCTTTATTAATCAGGGATCGTCCCAGTGGAATGCACCAACTTATCCAGCATATCTTTTATGCAGCGAATGCCTTTCCAGCCGCAAACCAAGACTGGGAAACACCCATACACTCTTGCATTCACGCACATACACTATGACCAATTTAGCTTATTCAATTCACCTATAGCGCATGTCTTTGGACTGTGGGGGAAACCGGAGCACCCAGAGCAAATCTACGTGAACACGGGGAGAGCATGCAAACTCCACACAGAAATGCCATCTGACACAGTTGGGGCTCCAACCAGTGAGCTTCTTGCTGTGAGGCTATAATGCTACCCACTGTGTCAACGTGACGCCCTTACATTATTACATCATGTTGTGTTTTACAATAAAGCTTTTGTATTTGTTTAACATTATGTATTTTTTGTGTATTACCATTTTCCTTATATTGTGGAAAAACAGCATGTGAATGTTTAATACTTATATTTTTTATTTTAAGTAGTCAATAATTTTGTATTTACTTTGGTATACCAGTATTAAATGTTTTAATCCATGCTCAAATTCAGTTTGCAAAGATGAAAATGTGGCTAACCATCTGTAAAGCTCTGTCCACCACAGGTTCCTTTTTTATATCATACATTTTAAATTAATACTGTTTGCACCTTTGGTAACTTGACTGATCAGTGGCTACTTGTGATTGTATTACTGAACATGACTCTTAGTACTTAGTTCCAATTGAAAAACATGGCTCAGTATGCACACATTAAAATCACTACAACTGGACTTAAAATAGTATGCTAGAGACAGATGTCAAGACCAATGTGTAAATTCTTTAAAAATGTAATTATGCATTGTGTAAAGCACACTTTCACAGAGTTACTCAAGGACAAATGAATATACAAAAACCTGCTGTAATTCACTGTAATAGCTGTGTAAATGCATGTATTATTGTTGTGTATTTAGTTTTACAGACAGCAAAATTAATTCTGATAACAGCATCAATTATGTGCTTGTAGTCATTGTGAAATCTGGGGGGAAAACGACAAATTTCAATCAAAAAAGTAACGTTAAATTTAAATTAACTAGCTTTTTTAAAAATGTGTAGTTCATTGAAGCCGTTTTCAGAGATGGTTTTCTTTAAGAACCATCCCTTTATGTGAGAGACTTTTCACTGAGATACCAAAGCTATTGGGTTTCTTTCTTTAAGTCAAAGTTATTTAGCTCAAGGCCAGCCAAGCAATGTTTATGTGACACACTACAGCTCACTCCATCTCTGCTGAGTTCAATAATCAGATACAGCAACTCTCTTTCATTCTGAACATTTGCTTGTTCTGTGGCATTAAACTCAGCTAATGGCGTGTGGAAAGAAATTTGGTTGTAGATAATGTCTTAATTTGAAACGAGACATAAAGCAACTTCTTCATATGTATATATGGGTTCAAGAGTGACTATTCAGAGAATTAGCGGAACATGCCCATCCCTCAATAGTTGCTTACCTTGGCACTGAAATCCTTGCTTTCCAAACCCCCTGATGAAGAGAAGAGAGAAACAATGCATTAGAGGTCTGCCTCTCTAAATCCTTTAATGGGCTTTTAGCTATCAGTTGCCTTCCACTGAACAAGCAATCCCTTAATTAAAATGTACACTGACAGCTACAATATCTAATGTTTGATTTGTCACGACACACATGTAGGAAGCAATAAAAGGGCATATTTTTTTCAATCACTTTTACAGAGAGTCATAAATTGAATCATTAAAGGGGACACGTCTGCATGTTAATAAATAAACTGCTGTAATATTGCAATTTATAAGCTGTTTCCACGTATTTGTCTATACATTTATTGACTCATATCTGAGCACTTATATTTGAACTTTTACAAGTTACTACATTCTTAAACTATCAACAAGTATGGCAGTGTCTTGACTGAGCAGCTGAATGCCCCACTGTGAGCCTGGACAAACTGATCACGCCCAAATCATGGCAACACCAGTAAACGCTGAAGAATGACGATTACTGGAACATTTTAAAACTTTAAACTTAAAAACTTTAACATTAGCTTTGTCCAACGAAAAAAAAGGACATTATGAAAGAAAATCAAAGCGTGTGACAGGTGTGAAGCAGAGTTCTTTATGACAGTGAAATAAACTAAACGTGTTTATGTATGTGTATTATCAAAACAGCTTAACTGTAAGCATTGCGTTTCTTAAATGCTTGAACTAGTAGTGTATGTTTTTATGTGTACGTCTGGTTAACAGGCCAGTAGCAAGATCTACAGTATCTTTAAACTTACACTGCTACTGCACTAATCATGTGTGAAATGATCTACTCACCAAATGAAGTCAGTGCAATGACTGCAGAAAGTCGGCTGCTTGAAAAACCTCGCGGTGAATTTATGGTTTTTCACTTCATGGACGTTTTTCTGCCTCAAAGCACCTTTACGGGCAAATCGATTTGCAACGTCAGACGAGGATTGCTCGTTGCTTTGTGTATCAGCCATTGCAGAAACACGAGCGAATAATTCCCCGTAGAGTGTGAGGAAGTTGCTGTCAGATAATTATAACGTTGTTTTTTCTGCCGTAGTTGTCCGTGTAGCGCAACAGTTGGGCGCGCGCGTGCGGAAAAGGTTTCTCCTGCTTTCGCCACAACTACTGTGTGTGACAGCTTCCAGCGAGCGCTCCGCTTCCTTCTCGCTCGAGGTGACGTCACCGAAGTGTCCTTCTGCTGGGAGTGGATAATAACGCTCGCCACTGGATCATGAGCACCGTGCAATGAGCGTCATCCGGCGGTCAACAAACCTGTTTGCAAGTTACTGTGAAGAATCCACGAGATTATCACCAGTGACTTTTGAGACAGGTTTGGATGTTTTCTTTTTCTTTAATCTACAAGTTTTGCTGAGCGTTAAATTTTGGAAGCATGATTTGGTGTCCTTGGTGAAGTGTTTATTTTCTTACTCGCGAAAGACTGGCGTTAAAAAAAACAAGAACAAAAACACTTGAAAAATACTTGATGTTTTACTGAGACCGTACGAGTTCTGGTCAGCCAATCAGATTTAAGAACCAGAATATATGTATTTAATAATAAGCCAGAGGCAAAAATTCAGTAAGTGACATTCTAAGTCGAACTGTCTTATGTAGTAGTGCAATGCACACCTCCCACCAATGTCGATATACTGTATATCCACATCGCACTGCTACTTGTGTGAAATATATATATATATATATATATATATATATATGGGTTATTCTCACGAAACCAGTAAAACAACGTGGCACTTAAGATTTTAAATATAAAACTTAGTAATTTGTTAACAAAAAAACATTATAATAAAGACAACGCTGTTCTCTACGAAGCACAATGTGTAATTTCAACATAATTTATTTATTTCTAATCATTTTACTGCATTTTCTACTAAAATTCTCATTACCGAAACGTGTCCATGCATTTTTGAACGTGTGTTATGTTGTAATTTAAACAAATTAGCATAATTTTTTTTGAATAAAAACAAATGAATTGTTTTAATAGGTTATCTGACATGATGAAACAAATAGTTTACAGAATATTCATGTATAATAACATTTAGAAAAAAATGATAAATTAGGTGTCCGTGACAGATGTTCTCATCCTCTGCAACCATTTTTCAGTGCTGTTTAAACACACATAAAGAGTTTAAATAAAGTTTAATTTTGTATATAGAAGCACATGGGCCAGTTGTTTTAAGATGACTGCCAGGAAAGAAAATCTTTTATATTTCTCCAGTTTAATGTAAAATTTTCTCCTGTCAAAATGGTTACAAGACTTTTTGATTATCATTACCGAAACAGGAAGTTTTCTACATTAACATAATTGTTATATTTGCTAATTTTTATGAAAACAAACTTTTTTAAAGACTTAATTATATGCACTGAGAATTTTTTTTTAAATCATCATAGCTTCCCTATTATTTGCAAAACATATTGAGGCACCTCATTCTCCGCAACTCTTTTCTCATATACCGCAACCATTTAGGGACAGTTGCGGTAGAGAGAACACGTGTTTCAGGAATGAGAATTTAAGTAAAATTGCATACTAAATTCAAATTACTCTTTTGAATTTAATGTTAATTTTAAAATGTACTAACTGTTTATATTTTGCTTTGATTTGTTTCATTTTTAACAGTCAGCAATGAAAAAAATTTAATCTTTAGCAAAAGCCAGGTTGGAAAAATTTTACAGCAACCCAGAACTACTTGAGGAGTATAGAAGGAAAGAAAGAGAGAGGTTAGATTTGGAGATGGCATAGCAGGTGTAATTACTAAAAGAAAAGCTCTACAGTGTTAGGAAATCTAATCATTTAAGTTAATAATTTAGCTTTGATCTGCACACACTCAGTGTACAAATGCGCATACACAAACATACACACACAGAGGGCCCTATTATACACCTAGCGAAATGTAAGGGAAAGGCGTGACGCAATTGTTGTTTGCCAGTTTCAGCATGGTGCAGGAGTCGTTTTGAGGTTTTGAGCCACGCTGTTTAAATAGCAAATGCATTTGCGCTCATATGTGCGCCCATAGGCGTTCTGCTCTAAAAAGGAAGGCATTCTGAGGAGCATTGCTGGCGTGGTGCTATTTTGAGAAACCATAATAGATTTTTCAATAGACCAGAACAAAGTAAATTGTAAAATATTACAAAACATATTATTTTCTAGCCTACAAAAATATAAAAACCCTACTTTCATGCCTTCTTCATCTCTAGAAGCTTTTTCAGTTATTTCATAGTAATTTGCTTTTGTATAATGTTATCATTAGCAGTATTAATTATTATATACATATTTATATTTGTTTTATTAAAAATAAGCTTAGATTTGCCCACCTGTCATGTTTTAGACCATATGGGGCACAGCATTTGTATTAAGATATAACTCAGGTTTTTGAGCACACTTCATTATTATTGTTCATTTATTTGTTTGCTGGAAATTAGAACTGAATTTAGAAATAGTTTTGAAACAAATCTCTGCGCTTAAACAAAATTATTATTTACAGGCTAATTGACGTCTGTGCATAAAAGGTTTCAATATTAGATCATGCATTACGATGCAAAGCGGATTTTTCCATCCTTATATTAGCAAAAGTGGATTCTGACACACCCTAAATGCGTTTGCGACCTGCACTTTGCATTTTGCGCACGGATCATCAAAATAGAGCCCCGAGTGAGAAAGAGAAAATAACCAAATATGTCAAATATGAACATTTATAAAATATTTTGTTTGCAAAAATACTAAATCACCATGATTCTGAAAAAAGATGCTAAGTGGGAAAAACAAACACACTGTATCATACAAAATGTTAAGCCTTTTGTGTAGTCTCTTTATAGCCATATGTAGTTTTTACGTAATCAAAATAAATAAAAAAAACTTTACACTTCAAATCACTTTGTCAAACAACAAATATCGAAACCTTGTCAGAAAGAAGTATTTTAGCTTCTCTAGAAAGGAATTCTCAAGCAGCATTGTAGAGATAGTAATACTAGAACCTAGTGTTTGCACCATGTCATTGCATAACCAGAGGGTGCTAATCTTCTTTTTAAATTTGTTTTCAAATGGCAGTCTTTACTTTACCTGGAAATACCAAGTGTATCTGTCTGTGGACTGCAAGATGGGCGTAACATGAAGGTGCGTATCTTGTAGTAAGTTAGAGAGACGTAATTTGCAGTAATGGAGATCCCATTGAACCATGTGAGATGTCACAACGAGATTTTGTTGGCAAGATGGTGGAAATACTTACAAGAGATCATTTTCACCAAATGTTTTCATGAGTTTTCTCCAAATTTATCCACACCCAATTAATTTGATATATTATTATATTCATTCATTTAGCAACTCGGTTACGACTTTGAGCACAACAAGTATGAAGTATACGGTTGGGTTTAGGGTTGTGGTAGGTATAGGCGTTAATCACTGTGATGGTTAGGTTTAGGTGTGGAGTAGGTGTAGATGTTAATAACTGATAGGTACATTGCCATCATGCCGACAACATAGAATGACATGTGGGTCTCCATGACTTTAAATTCTGCCTCTTCTACAAGTTATGCCCCCTTCATGTTATGCCCCTTTCTTGCAGTCCGCAGACAGACCCTACTCGGAAATACAGCACTAATTTAAACTTAATTAAAAATAAAAATTCCAAAAATTCCATTGTTTTCAATTGGGCAAATTTATGTTAATTACTGCATAAATATACATGAATAAATAAAAATAATAATAAAAAAAAAAATTACAGTGTTTCTTCTAGGATTTTTTCCAGCTGTGGCGGCAGGCCTTTTACACAAATCTATCAACAACCTGTGGCGTTATTTCAATGACAAATGTTGTAAGTGCAGTATTAGAAGTCAAGATCGCATTTATGTAATAGCCTACAGCATGGGGATCTCTTTGCTTGCATGCCGATTTCCTCTGCTCGTGCACATCCCCTTCTTCTTGCACACCCCCTCAAATATGAGCCGCTTCAAGAGCATGCAGATCTTCTTGTGCGCTCAAATAAACGCTGCTGAAGTGCGATTTAGTGCGTTTATGTCTCTAGCATTTATTAAATTTTCTAGGAATATTTGTGAATGTCTCTAATAGACCTACATAGCGATATTAATGTGTCGTGAAGTAAAGTGAAACAGCTATACGTCGTGTTTGCTGGCCTCACGCATCATGCACCTGTCAGTCAGACAGTCAGCACATAACCTTAAGGGTTAAACAAATTATGCACAGCACTACTAAGGTTACAAAAAAAGTTTGCACTGTTATAATTCACTTACCTTTTAGTACGTTTTGGTGCGAGTATCACCCCGCTATTAAAACAATAAAATGTTTTGACTGAGAAGCTGTAATGTAGGTGTGGCGCGATGAATTTTGGCGTGGCGTCCCGCCATGGAAGAATGAATGTAGCGGAAACCATGTATTATATAAAAATGATTGCTACATCATTTTAGCTAAATATAATAAGCTAAAAAAACCTGTGGGTACTTTAGTTGTTCATCTCTTTTTAACTGGCTAAGCCGACAAATTTGATTCCCAAAGAAGGGACACCAGAGGGTTAAAGCTGTACTAGAGACCACACTATCTAGTGAGGATGATGATTTATTTCAGCTTATCCAAGCAAGTGGACTTTTTTTTAAATTAAAGATATGTTTTAAAGCACTAATATTTTACATTAAATGTTTAACAAAACCTAATAATATACTTAAAATCAATGTTGAAATGATTAACCTAAATTCTGCAATCTATTTATCATTACCGCAACCAATGTTCCTTAAGTGATATTTTATTAATATTTTTTAATCGTTTGCTTTTCAATGCATGTGCATAATCTACAAATTATGTCCTTTCAGGTTAGTCACATTATTTTGAAAACACATCAGGTTTTATCAAAATACATTTAAAAAAGTGTTGTCAATTGTGTATGGTGTTTCGGTAATGAGAAAAAACAATAAAAATAAAAAACCCTGTTAATTTAAAAATAAATGTTATTGCAGAATCTCAAGTAACTCCACATCACCGTTAATAATCCCTTTTTAAAAAATGTCTAAATGAATTTGCTTTTTTATAAGAATCAATTTAGCAGACTGTTGCGGTAATGAGATTTTTTATTACTTGTTTTGGAAATTATGCTCAAAAAGGTACTAAATGATG